GAAAGCCCACGCTTTGATCGATGCCGTCGTTGGCACGTCGAGGTTGCCGACTTTCGAAGATAGATCGTCCCTGCAATATATCGATGCTATCCTTCGGGAAACTCTTCGTTGGCATCCGATTTTGCCCCTATGTGCGTGTACGGTCTTCAGGCGCCCGTCCGTTTCTTACGGGAATGTGCATTGTGTAGCAGTATCCCATGCGTCAGTGGATAGCGATATGTATGAAGGATACTATATACCCAAAGGCACGAGATTTTATGTTTTCTGATGAATTCCCTTGCTAGCCTCGTAAACAGGTGCCATTATTGTGCCGAATGTGTGGTGAGTCCGCATGTCCAAGGGATCACCCAGAGGCCAACCGCTTTGTAGGGCAATGTCACAAAATGAAGAAAAGTACCCAAATCCTTCGCAGTTCTCTCCCGAGCGCTTCCTGAACGCTGATGGCAACCTCAATGATGACACCGTCGATATGGCCTTTGGATTTGGAAGAAGGTTTGTCATGATATCTCTTCTTTTCATATGACATCGAACATCCTGCAGGATTTGCGTTGGCCGACATTTTGCTGACGCATCTGTATGGATAGCAATGTCCGGTCTACTTGCTATGTTTACATTTTCGAAACGAATTGGTGCAGATGGGGAGGCGATTGAGTTCGAACCACAATGGTTCAGTGGTATCGCAACGTACGTTCGCTCCCGTTCCTCTGTGTCCCAACTAATAAAAGACTTTGTTAGTCACCTACTTCCCTTTCCGTGCAGCGTCACTCCAAGGCTCCGCAAGGTAGATATATGATCATTAGTCCGGCGATTTTAATTGAAAGGACGGTTTTTTATACAAAGTAATTACATGTGGCTTCATTTTCACTCCTTCCCCAGTGCTCTCCCCAGTGCTTTCCACCCTCATTACAATGACATCCTGCTTCACCAAGAATGTGTTGATCTTGGTAGTGTTCCTGTCGTTACTGTCTCTAGCGTATCTTATACATGAAGATTGATATATATACTCACTGGCCGCCAAGGCATACGTGAACGTCCCTCTGAACAAACATTAGTACCGCAGAACTCATCACCCGTAGTATAACACAAGCTATGAAGAAACACGTACCCAACTCCAAACCCTGCCCGCACTCAAAACGATGGTGGACCAAAGACCTCAGCAAACTACGCAAAAAAGTAATGAAACTACACCGCACCGCCTATCAGATGAGAAGCCTCTCCCACCACGAAGTCCACGAAGAACTGAAGAAGACGAAGAACGAATACGCGAACCTTATCCAAGAAAACCAAGAAGCAACACTGGCAAGACTGGCTAGAGGACATCGAGGGCAACGATATCTGGACCGCCAACCGCTACGTCACATCGACCCCAAACGACGGAGGAAAAAACAAGAATCCCCACCTTAACGAAAGCAAACCCGACGGAACGACTACCACAGCAAGCACGAACGAAGAGAAGAGCCAAATGATAGCCCAAGCCCTATTCCCATTACCTCCGCTAACAGACAATGTACCGACTGACTACGCCTACCCAGATCCAATAGCAAGACACACCCCATTTACCAAGGACCAAATCACCAAAGCCATAACGAACCTCAGCGGATTCAAAGCTCCAGGACCAGACGGCATCTGCAACATCGTGTTCAAGCGCTGCTCCGAAACCCTAACCCCATACCTCGTACACCTCTTCAACGGAGTCTTCTCGCATGGAACATATTACGACCCTTGGAGACAGTTCACGACGGTAGTTCTACGCAAAACCAGGCAAGCCAAGCTACACCACCCCCAAGGCATATAGACCCATAGCACTACTTAATACAACGGGTAAGCTACTAACAGCAGTAGTAGCAGAGCAAATGACCTTCCTACTCGAACGACACCAACTCCTCCCCAACACGCACTTCGGCGGTCGCCCGGGACGATCAACCTCCGACTCCCTCCATCTACTCGAAGAAACAATCCGCAACGCCTGGAGAACAAAGAAAGTAGCATCAGTATTATTTCTCGACATCGAAGGAGCTTTCCCGAACGCAGTAACAAAACGCCTACTACACAACATGAAAAAGCGCAGACTACCACGACAGTTAATCGACTTCACGGAACGACTACTAACTAACAGGAAAACGCAACTAAGATTCGACGACTACACATCTGAATGGATCCCCATCAATAACGGTATAGGCCAAGGGGACCCCCTATCCATGATACTCTATATAATTTATAACTCTGACCTTGTAGAAGTAGCCAAGACCCAGAACGGGAAGGCAGGCGCTCAAAGAACTAACTCTGGCTTTTGTAGACGATACGGCATTCATAGCAATAGGCAAGGACTTCGAAACGACGCACCGAATCCTCAAGGACATGTTAGAACGAGACGGAGGAGGCTTCGAATGGTCCAGAAATCACAACTCCCGCTTCGAAACCAGCAAATTCGCACTAATAGATTTTTCAATGAACAGGAACAAAGAACGCCCGAACATGACACTCCAAGATATAACGATACGGCCCTCCCCCACCCACAAATTCCTCGGAGTCATTCTAGACCAGGAGCTACGCTGGAAAGCCCAAATAGATAACGCAGTAGCGAAGGAACGGCGTACGTACTTCAAATCCGAAGACTCTCAACGATGGCCAAAGGAATACCGACCCATCTCATGCGCCAACTATATCAAGCAGTCGCCATACCCAAGATGATATACGCAGCCGACCTTTGGTTCTCCCCGGCATTCAGAGACGGCTCAGACACACCCCAGAAAGGCTCCCTAGGAACAGCAAAGCGACTAACATCAGTCCAACGAATCGCACTCTTAGCAATAACGGGAGCAATGAGAAGTACCGCCACTGACCTACTAGAAGTCCACGCTAACGTCCTCCCAATTACCCTACTCCTCCAGAATTTCTGCCACAGAGCCATCGTCCGCATATCCGCACTCCCAAAAACTCATCCGCTACACGGACCAGTCAGACGCGCTGCAGGACGCTACGTAACGTCTCACCGCTCCTCGCTCCACAGACTCACACATCTCTTTGCTATCAACCCAGACGAGATAGAATCACTCAAACCAACGACAATAGCGCCGTCCTCACCATGCCCCTACAAAACCCAAATATCAGAAAGAAAGAAGGCCATAGAAGAACACGCGAACTTAGAGGACGAGATCCAGGTCTATTGCGACGGATCTGGATATAAGAAAAACATAGGCGCGGCAGCCATATTATTCAGAGCAGGCGCAAGACCCAGAATCCTAAGATTTCACCTAGGTAACGAAGACGAACACACAGTCTACGAAGCGGAAGAGGTAGGATTAACATTAGCAGCGAAACTAATCTCAACAGAACCAAATCTAACCTTCCCGCTATCAATTTCCATCGACAATCAAGCAGCGCTTAAATCAGGAGAGAACTCGCGAGCACGCCCTGGGCTCATACATCGCAAACTGTTTCGTCAGAGAAATGCGCAAACTAGCAAGAACATACCCCAACTTTGACGTCACTCTCCGGTGGTCACCAGGACATGAAGACATTCACGGAAACGAGATGGCCGACATCGAAGCAAAGAAAGCAGCGACAAGCAGCGGACAACAACAGCCCACGCGAAGACCTTCCAACTTACCTGCGCCATGGATCACTCCCTCTCAGTATATCAGCGTTAAAGCAGGCACATCACCAAGAAACTCACACAAGATGGACGAGACTATGGACCAAGTCTCCTAGATACGCACGTTTTCAACAAATAGACCCAAATGTTATCAACCGAGCGTTCATCAAACTAACTGCTAACTTCCCAAAGCGTCTCACAGGACTCCTCATGACCCTCCGCTCTCAACATATCCATTAAACCGCCATCTCCACCGAATCAACAAAACCGAAAACCCGCATTGCCCCCACTGCCCAGACACAGAAGAAACCGTTCACCACTATCTGCTAGAAATGCCCTCATTATCAGAAACAAAGACACATGCTACAAACGAACTCGGCCGAGGACGCATCATCCATACCCTTTCTCCTAACAAGCGCAGAAGCCATTGCTCATTTAGTCAAATATGTCAACGAAACCAAACGCCTCAAGAACACTTTCGGTGAAGTACCCATGTCCAAAAAACGCAAGACCTGACCCACCCTGTAGAAATAAGATAACACACTCAACGCACTCAATGTAACCACCCCACATCGCACAAACAAATGTAGCAACCACCAGCATCAACATATACCCAAGACTACTCTACAAACACCATAATCCTACAGTATACCTCATAACCATCACCAACCTAACACCCTCGTACACATGGAAACCAGCCGCACCTTGAAAGGCGCCTCGGAGATATGGAGAATAGATCACAACGGAACACTAACATCTTCTCCCTCAAAACACGCTCCACTAGATTCCTGTTACTCCGCGAAAGCGGACGAGATAAGCGTACCATCACCACAAGCACTATATCATCACAAACGCAGAATTATATCTCATCTCATCACATGAAGGGCGCGTCTAAAACGGCCGGCGGGAACGGCGGACTGATGGGGGCACGCCCCACATCAGGGCATTCGCGACTTCAGAGACCAAAGGACACCGGGGGTCCTATAGATTAGAAAGCACTGTCCTACATAGAGTATTCCTCTCAATGGACAAAAAACTGGATTAAAAAAAAAAAAAAAAAAAAAAAAAAAAAACAAACATTAGTACTAGGAGAGGAATTGGGCTGATATGTATCCCTGCTCTTTTGCGATTCGAGGAATAATCGCATGTCTCTGCAAGCTTCTTGAGCTGATGTAAAAGCGATAAATCTTTAGTAAGAGCATGCTCGTGTGGAGTACTAAGGCTGGCAGGTAGAAGGTGAATAAACACGCAGGGTGCCGTGGCGAAGTCTCAGAGATCAGCGAGTTACAAGGCTCGAAGAAGGTCTCAGAGGGAGTAACAGACTAGCATTGTCTAAAGTTTTCGACAAAGCAACTTTTAGATTGAAAGAAAAGTCTTTGCTTTATGCCCACTTGGTCATCAACTGTACAGTTCTTGTCCTTTGTTCCCGTGCACGTACTAAGCTTGGTCTGTACTGTTTCGAGGGATGGCAAAATCTTGCTTAGAACACCACCTCAGCACTACGTATGCCGGCAGTTACACTGACCCAGGACGCGACCCCAAGCATGCAGCTGACGTTCCCTAGCAGTTCGCAAGCGGAGTCAGTTCAATTGCCTGTAAGATATGCCACACGCCCTGTTCATTCGTGATCTGACATACCAATTCATACTAGGCAACGCAGACTTTTAGTACATCATGCTCAGCAGATCTCCCGCCCAGTGTCGGATCCCGAGAAGTTAGGACTATCCCCAAACCGCAGCCTAAGCGCCGACTCAAGCCTGAGGGATCTTCACTGTCCGAGCACATCAAAAACCGCGACTTACAATGGTTTAAGGCGCAACAGCCACCAGCTGCTCAACCTGGTACGCTTGTATTATTGAATAATGTAGTAGTAGCCCCTACTGCAGAGAAGTCAAAGCCATCTCGCGTGCCAGGAAGGATATATCCAAGACCGCCACCCAGCGAACTAATGACAACGAACCAGCCTACAGCTGCGGGAACCATTCATCGATCGAAGTACTTCTACCCAGGCTCCAGCTCCTGTAGACGTCAAGCAGTCAAACGAAGAAAAAATCACGCCCGCTGTAACTGATATTGCTACGAGTGGCCTACAACCAGACAATACGCCTCGAGACTCAGACATACATCCCTCGGGTGCGCCAGCTCCCGATGTTACTACGTCCTCGCTAAAACAAAACACGGATTTCCTAGCTCCAACGAAACCACCCGCGACACCTTCGGACTATGTGGGAGTCAAAAAAGGCGATTTTCCGTCGTGTCTAGTTGCCACTCCGCAGGCCAATTCCCCGAGATTTGGAGGGGGATATGGCTGTGATGATATATCGGAGAGGACTTGAATCAGCTCGCAACACCATTAACATCACTTTCAATCTCGATGATTTACATTATTCCTACATTGCTCGGTGGGCGAAGTCGAAGCGTACTAAGTCCTCACTAACGTCGTATGTGACAATTTTATCTTGTCCGTACGTAAATTTAGCGGTTCACAGAGATTTGGAACAAAGTGTTTGTGTGTCGTTCGCTTGCTATCACCTCCCTAGTCTCCCATCCAATCCACTAGAAGGTGATGGACTTACGCCACGCATTGAGATACTGATGCGTTCGCCATGCTCGTGGCCCACATCTGGGGACCTTTCACTGCAGACGAAGCGGGACGGGAAGGATTTTATCATTCCACTAGCTCCACCGATTTTCGTGAGTATCAGTATGCATACTAAATTACAACGAAGTTGAAAGGTTCTATTTGACAGGTTACTCCAGATAATTGCATCGATATCTCTGCTTTCATCAGAAGTGGAGAAAATACCTTTTCAGTGGTCCAACAGAGCGACATGTCAGACTATTTGTTTATGTTCCTCGTCCACTATCCCACGCCGGAGCAACTTAGCTATCTTGCTTCGTGCAGAGGTAGACGTGAGGAGTGGGCGAAGAGCATACGTGATCTTTGCAAGCTTGAGCTGAGGGAACCGTAACTTATGGAGGCGATCGCCGTCAGAAGTTATATAATCTCGCCATATCAGTTAACACATTATACCTAAGTCGAGCTTGTACTTCACTCTTGAGTACGACCTGAGTTTTATTAGATAACGCCATGGACTCGATGACGAGTTGATTTTGCCGGCTCTATGGCACTGTCCGAATCGCGATTCTAAGGAGCATGATGTATTTCATCACCTATGTAACTATATCTGCTAGTGCATGTAGTAACCTCGTACCAGACTCTGACGACCCTATCGGAGACAAGGCAGTACATGGTAGTCGAGGTTGCCACGTCAAAATGTTGACGAAGTTGCGGTCGGACCGTGAAGGTACCGCTACATCGCCATGGAGTTCTGCCTGCAAAATATTCAGCACCTAGAAGCAGGCCAGCCTTCTGTAGTCTCAGCGATGAATGTCCCTCTAAAGTGCTGCGATGCTTATTCATGCTTGCTGGAATTGGCGTTACAGTGAGTATGAGTAGGTTGCATCCTTTAACCACACGACTCACCGGCATCGTAGGCCATCTGGGAATGTGTAGCAGGTTGAGTGGCATGTCGCGACAATGAATTACAGCGAGTCGTGTTTCTGCTTTCGCATGGGTGCAGTACGGCTGATGGACGACGGACGAGTTACTAGTGGTTTGACCGACATCACTAATGATGTGTTATTCAGACTGAGATATAGCGCTTTTTTCTTTCCGTTGGCCAGCCGCGTAACAGCTTACCTTGGAGCCCTTTCAATATTGTCACGACCTACCATCCACCTCATGCAGCATTCAATATTGATGCTGCTCGCACTGATACACAAGCAACTGAAGCGTGTCTGGTCTCGTTTTTCAGCAAGGTAAGAACTCCGAACTGAAAGCTTGGGCCACTCAATAAGTCACTGAATCAAAAGACACCATCAACTCGCAATTTAAAGACAGCGGGAGAAATCATCACTATCAAACTAAGGAAGACCAATGCAAGGAGTCACATCAGCGTGGGTATCATTCCAAGCGACCTCTCAGCCAGCTCAAAAGGCCCCTCGTCCCTTCCCTTTCCCAAACCTTCCTCTGAGGTATACGGAACCTACCAAGCGCATAAACATCACTATGTATACAATTAATGCACGCTGAACTACTCACAAGTTACCATCCACCAAGAAGACGTCCAAAGGCAAAAGACCAAGTTCTGCAGGAAGCTTGGAAATCTCGTTGTCTCTGAGGTCTAGTTCCTCTAATTTCCAATCGGGCACCGAACGGTTACCTTTGAACAGATCTGCGATGCCCTGGAAAGCATCAAGTTCGTCGATTCGATTGCCACGGAGTCTGAGATGCCTGAGGCCTTTACGGGAATTGGAGTTGTCTGCCAGGATGAGGGAAGACAAGATGTCCTGCCGCAGCGAAGCTGACGTAAGAGCGTTATAAGATAAATCCAACGTTCGAAGACTCGGGAAAAAGCGCGTCAATAAAGGTAGAAGTGTATCGTTCGAGCGCGGAGGTGTGGTAGTCCCCGTGTCAATTTGATGCGACACGGAGACTTGATCACCGAATCCACACCCATCCAGAACGAGTTCCTCCAGGCTTGGGAGTAAGACCTCGCCAGTGGTTGGGAGAGAAACGCAAAGATCGAATTTGCGGTTGCGTAACACGAGAATCTTAAGCGTCTGTGCAAACGACTGAGCTGATATGGCAACGAGGGGAAGTGTCAATGTAGGCAGGGCAAAATCAGTTTTGCCTTGAGAGGATGGTGCACTCGAGAATGGAGTTGCTAAAGAGAAGGATCGAGCATGACTCTTTGTCGGAGCTGAGAGCGGGGGTAAAGTGAGCGTTTGAGTGGTAGCATGGTAGTATTGCGGATTCGTTAAACTTGTGCTCGATGATGGTTGCGAGGTGCTAGCAGGCGTAGGTGGGCGCCCGTGTCCGATAAGGGAGCTAGGCTTCAAAGGTGTTGCAATATCTGCTGCAGGCATTGCCGCCGCCGCTCTTGCCCGCCCGCCGTCCACCCTCCGTTAACAAACCCTGTTCTGCCTCGATCTCCCAAGCCTCCTTGACTACATCCGCATTGTTTTGGCCTACGTCCATTTTGCTGGAACCACCAGTACTTTCCGCATCTGCCACACTTTTAGACACACGGCTCTTCACCCTTCTTTCTGCCTCTATCTCCCAAGCTTCCCGAACAACCTTTTTGCCGACAGACACCCTCAGAGTGCCATCGGGAGGCTGCTCAGTAGTGAAATCGTACGTAATATCCTGCTTTAGCCCAGACAACGCAGATTGCAAGCCTTCCATGGTAGCCCGAGTTTCACCCATATCAAGGATCTGCAACCGAGGGAAACAATGGATTTTCGAAGTGGATAAGTCACTGGGGAAAGCATCATCGCCGATGTCGGCGGTTTCACAACGAAGTTCCTTGAGAAGTTCCAAATGACTAAGGGCTCGAATAAATGCAGCTGTCGAGTTCGAGTCTCCCAAAGCTAAGGGATTCGCGGCAAAGTCAGCTTTTGTGATCAACGGAGGCAGATTGGCGTGGTCTATGGAAAAAGCGGTGAGTTTATTGTGAGACGCGTCCAGGACAGAAAGGCGTGGTAGTGGCGATGAGGCTCTCGTAATGACAGGACCAAAGAATCCCCCGGAACTGAAGGTATCGTTTCGCGCTTTCTGTGAGGAAGACTTCGAGAACCGGGCACCAAAGGAGAGCTCGCAGAGGGCAGTTATGGGACAGGTTCATGACCGTGAGATTGGGTAAGGCGAAGATATTTGAAGGTAGCGCCGCGAGGGAATTATGAGAAAGATCTAGGGTAGTTAAAGCCGTAAGGTCGGCAAAGGTATCAGGTAGGAGAACAATCTTGTTTTGATGCAACTTGCAATGGACCATATATAAATACCATCTATCACGGAAAGATGTGGTCAACACTTACATCAACGGTCTTCAGCGATCCAAAGAGAGAGATTTCGTGCTGTATTTCGACAATATCGTTATTCCACACTTGAGCACATGCAAGTCTGGGCTTCAAACCACGCTGGACCTTCTCGTTGACCAGTCCGCCTGGACGAACTTGAAGCATCCGTGGAGGAAGATATGGGTGGCTCGGAAGCTACCGACTTCAATGGATCAGGAGTTACTCCCAAATGAATGTCAAACAAAGCAGAAGGAATGCATGGTAGAGAGCGAGAGGACAAATTGATGGCACCTGCAATAGTGACCTTGTCTGATCAACGGCACGCATCCAATACGAATCACATCCACTCACCTGTGCTTCGAGCACGCTCAATGGTCTCTTTCACAGACCACCTCCCTAATTCGGGTGTTTCTTCTTCGTTCTTCTTCGCTACCACCGGATCTGCATCTTCGAGGTTCTCAAAATCACCAAAGCCTGCACTATGGCCAAGGCCTACTCGGGATGAAGAAGTAGATACGGCCTTTCTCGCTTCAGCTCGCTTGAGAGCGACCAGCTTCCTTGATGCTCAATATTGGTTTGGGAACAGGTGGCTCATTTTCGACAGGTGGTGGCCTACGAATAGCCTTAGACGGAGATTTTGGGACCGACTTAGTCCTCACGCGAGGGGAAGATGCACTGGCGGCAGGCTTGGACGGCGACGGAGCCCGTGAGCGAGAAGGTGGCACGAGGGGGCCTTCACTGTTGGACGTGGAGATGGTTGAGGAATGCGAGACATTTCATATACTAAGATCTAGTTTGAACTATAGGAAGAGTAGACTTGCAAATAGAGAAATAAATGAAAGAGGTAGAAGTTCAACGTCACGGTTGAATTATTGGAGTCTTCCGAGTTGGAACAGTCACGCAAATTAAGCGGATTTTAACGACAAGCGTGAGTGTAAATAGACTCAGGAATGGTCAAGTGACAAGGAGGAATGCATATGACTTCCTGAAGCAAAGCACACAATAAAATATACTACGTGCCATCCGATAATGCCCCCCCAGAATCGCCATCTCCATCACATCATATATCCTGACGTTTTGAACGTCGCCTTCAACCCTTGCAACATCTTCCGAGTCGCCCTGCTCCCGACGGTATACCGATAGATCCCAGTCTTCGGTTTCTTCTTCGTCGTCTTCGAACCATTCTGGATTGTATTGGAACTAGAATTCTCTTGAGTTAATAGGGGATGATTGCGTATTGTCCTATTACTACGTACCAAATCTCGTCCACTCATGCCTGAGTTCTTACCAGCCGCATGCTGCGTCTCTTCGCTTTCCGCATTGCGTCTACCTCGGCCTCTTTCTTGTCCATTCTAGTTTTCTTCCATATCGCGAAAGTCTCTGGAGTGACTGGAGTTAAATTTGACCCTAGTTTGTGGCGCTGTGATTTCGCAACGTGAGATCCTTTGGGGAATCGCATTACTCCTTGATTACACTCGCCTGAATTTCAAGGAAGTCTTCCAGACTGATAATGTTGGATTTCGCTGCCTCTTCGGCTGCCTTGCGCTCCGATTTGAGCACAAACCCAGGAGGTAAAGCATGCCTGTATTGGCACTTTTCATTTCCATTAGGGCATTCCCAGAACCACCCAAACCTTGAAAGAAAATGATTGTAAGTCGGTCAAAATGCAGAGTTCAAAATTTCCGCACTTTTGAGTCTCGATGGCCTCGATAAAAAATTTGCATACGATCTATACGTACGTTGAGTAGAGGTCCGAGCGGTGATGCATCCCGACCCACGTCTGTCGTTGTTCTAGGATTGCCGTGCTTCGATAGGACTACATTCCGTAGCTTCTCTTCGTCCCAGTTCTCCATAGTATCTGATAGAGGACACGATGAGAGACTCGGTCAGTTGATTCACGAACACCGTACCTTTCATCTGGTCTTCCCTGCTATCTTCATACAGATTCTTCTTCTCCACCTTGCGACCAACATTGAGGTCATGGCTGAATTTGCACTTGTTACCCTTCTCACAGTTTCCGGCTTTGTAGAAAGCGCAAAGCACCGTTTTGGGATCGACTCCGAAAGGAACTTTCTGTGTCTGAACAGGCTTGAACAAAGCAGCTTCCTCTTTCCTGCGCTTCTCCTCCTCGAATTTCGCTTTCTCGCGCAGTTCCTTTTCTTTCTCCTTTGCAATCGCTTCCTTGGACTTTCCGGTCATAGCTTGCTGCTGCTGCAAGATCTGCACCTGCTTCTGGACCTTGGCAGATTTATTTTTCTGTATACACGGTCAAGAAAATATCGACAAGAAGTGACGACTGTGCCTACATTCTTCATGCCAAAAGTCTTCGTAGAGTAACTGATCAATCAGTTCTTTCCTGAGATGTAGCTGCGTGATGATCTACCTTGTCATCCTTAACCTTCGAACCTGAGGGTGCGTTCTGCTTCTTTGGAGGCATGACTGGGGTAGCTGGCGATCGTGAGCGAGTAAAGACTGTATAGAAGGTCACGATAGTACTGTCTGTGGTCCTCCACGAAAGCCTGTCACTTGCAAGAGATCGTGCGCACTTAGAGGATGTACTTGGTAGTTGGTGTGTGGTTCTCAGGCGCTTCATGAGCCACAATTCATTCTACTGCTGACAAATTTTACAAAAATGGTTTACAAAGCTTCGCTACTAATCCAGCCTAGCTTGGCCTAGGCTGAGCGCTACGCACTGGCACGCAGATCTCATTTTGCGCTCTAGCGGAAACGTTCTCCCTCCTTTGCAGTTACCGGTAATAGTAGCGATGCTGATCAGATAGCGCTCAATATGCCAGTAGTTATCTTTTCCCTTCGATCTATATCTCATCCTCCATAGAATCGGGGGAGGTCGGTGGCATACAGTTTCGCTAGTGAGGCATGTCTCCCCTGATTCTGGTATTTGTATATCTGTATGATTGCGTTATCGAGAACCATATCGGCGACCATCTAACCAAGGTCAATAGAATTTTCTTCATCTTGACCGCGCAAGTCTGGATCTATTTTCAAAGGCACAAAATTCGACCTTGGAAAACTCAGTGAGTAAAATTATCGTACGAAATTATGTCGTATATCACTTGACAATACAGAACAGGTTGTCTTCATCGGCCCACGACTTATTGCAACCCTGTCCACCGACGGCGTCAGGTGAAGTCACTAATGAGGATCGTGTTATATCACACGTAAAGTCACTGTGTTCTGCATCGCTGCTGGTGAATAGACCGTGAAGACCGCACAAGCAGACTCGCCATGAATTACGAGGACTGCACCATCTTGCGGATCAGGCTCTGCCGTCCATTGAGCACCGTGTGAGCCTGTCGAAGGGACAGACAGGGCACGGTTGGCTGAACGTCGAACCTTCGTAACCTTGTATGCTGCATGTGTATATATCAACCATGACGATCAAACGCAGATTTATTGGATTATCGCGACTAAACTCTGTGGGTGGGCGTAGATCGACCATCAGTGTCTTCTGCTGGTCTGGGAAGGAGTGCTGTCCGGAATGTTAGATACTTGAAACACCTTCCGGATTGCTAGCGCTGGTAAATAGCATAACAATGCCGAACGGGACTGAGAAAATCAGAAGTGATTGATTTGGACGACATCTACAGCAACAAGATAATCGTAAGCACTCTCGCTATAAGTAAGGTTCTTTGAGTGCGCCCATCGCTTGCAAATCGAGAGCAAGATCGCGTGTTCAAAACAATTAAGCTCTGACGACAGTCAATATCAAGCAGAGCTGATGAGAGAATGAAAATGTATTGTTCAATTTGACGAGAATCTTTGTATGACTGGAAGTCTTTCTTCATCATAGGATTTCAGCAAAGGTGGGGGCGGGATGCCTTTTGCAACCAGGGCTGATTTTTACTCTAGATTAAACTATGCGAATCAATCAGTCGCTTGAACGGAGGCATGGTCACCGAACCTGCTGTGTCTTATTTGCCTGAATCTAAGCCCTGCCTGCCAGTTGGGGGGAACTAGGTTATGCGTGCGGAGTCTGGCATTGTGCACTGGACAAGAAGACGACAGCAGAACTGACCGGTGACCGCCCGCAAGAAAGGCACCATCATGACTAAGTGTCTTCACCATCCCTATTGTAGGCCTAAAGAAGTTCCAAACATGTGGGAAAATCCACAATTTGTCCTGGCGGCGGCCAGAGTAGATATACTATCTTGACTCTGATGGTTTTTCTGGAACGATCATGTCAGGCGGGGTTCACTTTCACGACGAGAAAACGTACCCTGCAACTTGGAAAGCCTTGGGATCGTCAACTCATCTAGGAGAGCGACAAGAGATAATAGATACCATTAGCCTGCTATGAATGACTTTCATAAGAGTGATTGTCCGCCTTGGAATACCATGCGTACTTGGCGCACTTACACTTCACGCCACACAGAGAGTAGTCACCCAATGGCTGCGCGTATACCCCTACGCTGGGGTATTCGCGAGTCCAGGTGTTGCAGACTAGTTAGTACTGTCCGACATAGGGTACGTCACCTCAATGGACAGAAGTCGGAATGAAAAAAAATACCACGTGTATTGAGGGCGAACAATACAACTCCGAGAAGGGCCTTAAAAGAAAAGAAAACTTCGCGCCACTGCAACAAATTCCCCATCTACATCTGAAAGGACACTCCCCCAGTAAAACAAATGCAAAAATCAACCGCCAGTCCCTCAGCCGCCGTGCAATCAACAGCAATGACTGCATCGCCAGTCAATGCAACGACACAAACAAAACGGCCGCCCAAACCCACACGCTAAATTGCGGCAGGTCCAGGTGTCAGTCGTTTTCGTTTATGCCGAAGGCACCGACTGGCCCACGGTCAGTCGCCTTCTCATGATCACTCGCTGGTCTGCAAGGGCGGGCTTTATCTGCTCGCCAATTCACCTCCCCGCTCCGACCCACACGACCCACAATATGCGATAAGCCCTCCGCAGGTCATTCCTGAGAGCTTGGGCATCGATAAGGGCAATCGCGGTGATGAAGTCGTCGCGGGCGGTAGAAAGCGGAGAAAGGAGGACCAGAGAAAGCAGGAGCTCGAAACGACGAGTACACCGAGGATGTGCAACCCACATCCGTCAGGTGTCGCGGATGTCAGAAGGCCATCAGCCTTGACAAACGCTCCAGGTACTATCCTGGACTGTGGGTCAAGCACAGGAGCAAGTGCCCGGGCATCCTCGAGCTAGAGGTGAGTTAATTTCTCCTATGAACGGAATAATAACTAACTAAATTTATAGGAAGATAAAGCACTAACCAGGAGAAGAGACTGGTTTTTTCAGCTAAATCCAGAACCGCGCCCACCAACCACCTCCTCATTTGACGCGAGCGGTGAAAATTGGGAAGAGGGAGAGTCAGAAGAGGATGAGGACGAGGACAGGTGATGGGATTCAGCAGTAAGTCAGTCCTCGATGGAGCAGATACTGTGATTCACCACGAACTCTAGCGTCGAACGTGCGATTCTATAACGACTGCTGGCAGGGGAGAAAGGTGATGGGCGTACCGGTACGCCGCTACGAAGGAATTCACGGATAATTTTCATCTTAAATATTATGGGTGAGTGTCAAAGGCGACGATTCAGAGCGTGCTTATCAACCCTTTGCTTTGTGCACTTACTAGTATCGGACGTCCACGTCCCTTTGTTTACAAAACGTTGTAGCTTTCGTTCAAATACAATTTCCCTTTGATGTTCTCCAGGATTTCCGTGATGAGATCAGTAGACAAAGGTAGGCGTGGAAGATGATGATCCTTTGTGCGCAATCAAGTCAAGCACGATATCATGATCGACACCTGGAATCGCCGGTTTTGAGTGCTCGGAAGGAGCCGGCACCACTGGCATTCTTTGTCTTTGTGGTTGCTTTGTCTCTTCACCCGGACCGTACATTCCGCTCACTCCTCATTCACACCACCTTCCATTCCCATCATTTGCAGTTTAACGCATTTCGGTTGATATCGACAGCAGAATGCGATGTCAGCTATGTATATCCGATACATGACATGGTCGGTCAACAGCCCGTGCTCGGTCCCAGCACCTTAACTCAATGTTTTTGCATTAGACGAAGCTGGGCGAAACGGACAACCCCTCATTTCGTAAATCAACCGACGGCAGTGTCGAACTGTTGTGAGATGTGCGGCCACGGCGACAACTTGGCTGACAGTTCTTCAAAGCTTCACGATCTAGTTCTTACTGTCGCGAATTGCACTTGAAATATGAGTACATCTATTACCGCCCGCCTGTCCCTTTGACCATATCCTGCGCGCCCACGCCATATCATCGACTCCAACTCTACAACTGTCAAGTATCCCGAGCGACTTGCTGCGTATGACGTCCATCAATATATCAGATTCCGATTGCAGTCTGCGGCGTTCCGTGACGGGAAGATGTTGACGACGGGCCCAGCTGGGCAGTACCACGTTGTTCACGAAATGATACAGGCGTAAATTTGTTCTGGATCACTGATCCCACAAAGTGCGACACCTTAACAGCTCCTGGATATCGCATCATCCGACTGAGGGTGTCGCTGTTTGCAAGATATCTGCCTCAGTTATTTCGGGTATGTGGTGTCATGACGCCTTCTCAGGACAGCCATCGCCTTGACTATTTCTGGAGGGTTATGATGATCTCGCGCCGAGAGCATCAGTGAATGGAAAAGTTCTGGGTGAAGTGAATATTAAAAATAAACATAACACATAGCCGCGGAGTGCGGTCCACAATCCATAATCATAGTCAGCTACACAGCTTTAGTCTCCCCTAGCTAGACCAAATAGATCTGGGGATACTCAATTCTGCCTCGGAATTGACAGATGCTTATAGCCTCCTTGCGTCCGTGGGTCAGCTCTTCTAAGAACTAGTAGAGATTGTGGATTTTGTTGAGTGAAAGCTGAGACGGAACTGTGCCCTATATGCACTGCGCGGAAGACATCAGCGATAGCGCCCAGCCAGAAATTCGAATGACACACTGGCATCTGCCAGACGGACTGCGGATAGTGACTTGTTCAAGCGACGGTTCGCTCCGGGCATGGAATTTGAAGACTGGGAAACATATCGAGAGGACTGACGGCATGGAGAACGTCTATACGTGGATAGGACCTCGTCCATAGCATTGGAAGACGTGTCTCCTGGAGTCGGTGAATGTTGAGCGCTCGAGCGCCGTATCTCACGCGCATGATCGAACTTCCTGGCCAGTACTTGCATTCTACTTCTTTGAATGTATGAATCAATGTTACTGTAGCTGGTGATCGCGAGCGAGTAGAAATCGTATAAAAAGATTATCGGCCATAGCCTTCCGCGGGACTTCCACGGGGCAGTGGTGCACAGCCACAATTCCCTACTAACGCTGACAGTGACACTGACAGATGTCACAAAAATGATTAACCAAGTTCCGAACTTGAACACTACTTCTAAGAACAGCTCAATTGCATGATCCCCCAGTACTATAGTAGGCTGAGCGCTGCGCTCACATCTTCTCGCGGTCTACCTGAAACATTCACCGGCCCTATATATCCTGTTACAGGTACTATCAGCGATGCTAGATAGCACTCGAAATATTCTCAGTACGGTTACTCTTCTTCTTTGACCTACATCTCATCCTCTTCACAAGCCTGAGAATCAGAAAACGTCAGCAACTAAATATTCGCACCATGACCCAAGTCGCGGAGGTATACAGTTTTGTAAGCGCAAACATGGCTTCCTTTATGACTGGTCTTGGTATCATCTATGTATGATTGTGTTATCGAGAACCATATCAATGGCAATATGCTAACGAACGTCGATAGAGTTTTCTTAATTTTGACCGCACAAGTCTGGATCTATTTCTGGAGACATAAAATTCGATCTCAGGAAAACATGCAGAACAAAGTTATTGTATGAATCACGTTGCATATCACAGACTAATCGCTGACAGTGCAGACAGGTTACCTTCATCTGGTAAATATCTCTGTTATGCATGCAGTTGACGGAAAGATTGACGCTTGCATTACAGGTTAATACAAGCTGCTCAAATGTGAGTCCCTATGGAAAATGTAGTACTGGCCACTGGAAGTCCTGCTAGGGTAATTATTTCTCGGCTCTCGTCCATTCATACGATGGAGTTCGAGGATAGATCTCGTTTCCTTGGCCATCTGTTGACGTCAGTATCGTCGGTTATTCATCAAGACGCTTTCTGCTTTCTGACAGAACGACAGAGAATGGGCGCTTTATACCGGAATGGGTGTCGGGGCTTTTCCTCTCTCGACCTAATTAAGCTCACTGTCGTTCCACAGTGCTTGACCACGTCCCTTGTGCACGGCGTTTTCGTACATAGGGTTTTCAGACGTACGTGCTACTCACTTACAACTATCATGGTTCTTTCTGATGTGCACGTAAAGTTGAGAAAATTCTTTATGACAGACGGAGAATATCATTCATTTGGTAGGCACTGCGTTTGGCTGGCGTGGAAACTGTGACCAATTGCGCCAATCAGATTGCATTTTGTGTCATGGAGCAAGGTGCGGTAGTTTACGTTTATCCTGCGACGAATAATCGCTACTTAATCACGGAAAACAGTTTTTGGTCTTCTTAGCACAATCTGCATGTAGGTCAAATTTCATCACCCTGTCAGGCGTTTCTCAAATACGGAAACAGCTTCAAACTACGTGATGATCTTAACTATAATGTCACGGTTATTGTAAGTTTGTTCTACCTTTGATCGGGATGCAACTCACAAGGATGAAGTGGTCTATTTCGATTTCACTTGGTTGTTCAGCGATCAACGATGTTCTTATCGCTGGAACTTTGGCCTATATTCTCCACAAACACAGGACTGTATTCCGAAGGTGATTAATTAGTTCGAGTATAAAATTAACCTCTGTAATTGACCTTCTCGGTGTTCAGAACGAACCAAATGATCACGAAACTCATCATATTCTGCTCGCAAACGGGTTTGATAACAACGCAAGTTCCTTGGTATTGACACATGATGGGTATGTACTCACTGTTTCCGGTGCAGCGTGGCGGCATCCATCACTGTGGGACTTGTGAGTGCTTCATCTCGTGCGTTAAC